TCAGTGTTGACCATTCAGTGATAACTATTAATAAAGTTTAGAACAGAATACTCACTTAAAGTCTTGTTTGTTCTCAAAATGTTCAAGCCTGATAAAGAGAGACATCTCTCTTTTGTTCAATATATCCAGGCACATCATAGCAAAGGATTGAGTACTGTAATTGTTTGTATGGCTACAAGTCTGATTGGAATTTTTTCTTTCCTCCATAGTTACTGTATCTTGGAAAAGATTATCCAGCCGGAGAACAATACTTCAAATCCAAACTTAAAAATGCTTTCATGAAACACAGAAACGAAACAGATCCTGAGAAGATCAAAATGTTGATAGCCAGGGGAGAATATGTCATCAAAGAAGTAGAAGCTTTGTACATGTTACGGAAGTATAGGACTTTAAAGCAACGGTACTACCAGGATGAAAGCAAATGACAAAGGAGGGCATTAAATTCAAAACTAAAGGATTATCTGCAAGTCTGGAGAAATCAACATGGCTGACCAACCCCAGCGGTGGTAAAAGGCCTTCTAAACAATGTGTCTTGTGGTGAAATTGAGTGAAATTTCATGAGTCTCTGCATCTAAACGTTTTTGTGACACCATTTACTACAAAATCTTTATTAATACACAGAGTGTAAATTTCAGTGTTGATTTGTTTCCCAAGTGTAAGAGAGTCTCAGGTTCACAGTAAAGTTATTTGTCTCTGTCTCACAAACTCTCAAGACCACACTCAATTTAGTGACTTTTTGCAGTGGTTTGTTCTTCCCAGATTTTGCTAGTCATTGAAGAATTAGGAAACAAATCCGGCTGTAACAAATAAGTGGTGTGCTTGTACCTACATTTTCCATTACTTTGTGTTAAAGTCAAACATTTCTGTAATCACCGTTCTTAGCATTGTCAGATTTGTCAGCCGTAGTTACAGTGAAACACCATTGATCCGGTCACCAACGGGCCACAAAAATCTGGCTGTATTAAGAGGTTGGCTGTATCAAAGAGGTTCTTTAAACAAGAAAATGACTGAATGTGCTTTTGTGAGGGCCAGAATAAAGTGGCTGTAATAACAAGGTGACTGTATTAACGAGGTGAACATAAGGCAGGGTTCCATTGTAATGTAAAATATTATTAGCTATACTGCCTTTGCTTGTTTTTCGCAGTTTGAAAACTCAGTTATGCAGTGACTGGTGTTAGAATCACAAATTTTCCTCGTGCTCCATTCATCAAAACTTGTCACAAGAGATGTTTCATCTGTACAATTATCACAGGATATTTGCCCTATTCAAGATATACTATTGCATAACTCTGTAATGTGTCTAGCAAATTTCCCATCCCAAAGTGGGTTTCTGGAAATTCCAAGGGGAGGGGGAGTTTCAAAAGCCATTTTTAAATGAAAGTATGAACCAAAACTGAAATTAACAGTGGGATTGGGGGATTATGGAGGGAAGAGGGGGGGAGTCAAACTAATAAATCTTCCATGGGAGGGTACGGATATTTTTTTATGGAACAACATAATGGAAAAAAATGTGCACATGGGATTTGCTGTTCATGTGGATTAGACCAATGAAACACACCAAACTTTTACCTAAACAATATTTTTTCTTGCAGTCAGCTACAATTGGTCTTCTACCGAACACAAAATTATATTTTGTTGAAAAGTGATCACAAAAATGATCACTCACTTAATTTGCAGTAAATATTTCTGCCACATGGTCTTGACATTGATCTCAGCTATCAGCATAAACCAGTAGATGGCTCTTAGCAAATGATCTAAGAACTTAGTGTGCTTAATAATATAGTTTTGGTGCTTTATAATCATTCTTCTCGACATATTTCTCCATATTTATAATGCTAATTCAATTAAACAGAGTTCTTTCTCACAACATCTGTGGGTCAATAGACATGTTTGCCTCACAGTCTTAGTGTTCAGTGAAACACCCTCTAAGACGGCTTTGTTGCTATGTGCAAGGCATATTCTTTGGGAGTAAATTTTTTTCCATGAGTATTTATAATTTTCAAGTCTTATTATTTTGTACCCTTAACTCCAATTGTGTATAATTTCAGTGTCAATATCATAAATTATTGGTCAAAATTCAATACAATTTTATGACGTTAATTCTAATATATGAAAAATATGATGTAAACTGGGTGGTCAAAACCATAGGGATTCATACAAAGTAAAACCATTGTTGGTGTCAAGTAAGTAGCTTTTCACAGTTTTGTATCGATTACTTCACTCACGATTGCCGTTTTCATTTAATAAATTATTTTTTTGGAAATTCTGGTTGGCTGATATATCGCATGAAAATGTTTATGCTTCCCCATGTGACTGCCACAGGCAGCCCAGCTGTTTTATTAATTTCAGTCGTTTGAGACAAATTATGCATGAGAATACTTCGAAGATTGCTCTAAATGCCCCATGTAGATCAGAATTTAAATATAAACACGTTTTTCCTATTTTCTCTTTTTGCACGTAGCGTTTAGAGCAATTTTTGAAGCATTCTATTACATTGTCTTAAACAACTGAATTCGTAACGCAATCACCAACAGAATAATGTCACGTAGTCTGGGCTATCTTTGCAACTGCTGTCACCAATCCCATACCAGCCTCGTCCCCAGGCGTCGTTGCAGTTCGGAAAAAGGCGGGAAGCCGAGCGCGGGGGTTTATGGGGTATGTACAGAGCAGCTCTGTTCTCGGTTTATGGTGGGTCTATTCTGGTTCCTTCGAAACCGAAGATCGCTTTCGTTTTCTCCAAAAAACCGATACCGCCCTACTAGTAGGACAATTATCATTATAACCGGTATTTTACAAGTAACAGTGCGTAAAAAATTCTTTACGATATGTTAGCTTAATAATCGTATTTCTCCTCACAAATACCGCAAGGTCAAGANGTGAAAATGTTTATGCTTCCCCATGTGACTGCCACAGGCAGCCCAGCTGTTTTATTAATTTCAGTCGTTTAAGACAAATTATGCATGACAATACTTCGAAGATTGCTCTAAATGCCCCATGTGGAACAGAATTTAAATATAGTGGCTAACACGTTTTTCCTATTTTCTCTTTTTGCACGTAGCGTTTAGAGCAATTTTTGAAGCATTCTAATACATTGTCTTGAAACAACTGAATTCGTAACGCAATCACCAACAATAATGTCACGTATTCTGGGCTACCTTTGCAACTGCTGTCACCAATCCCATATCAGCCTCGTCCCCAGGCGTTGTTGCAGATCGGCTAAAAGGCGGAAAGCCGAGCGCGGAGGTTTATGGGGTATGTACAGAGCAGCTCTGTTCTCGGTTTATGATGGGTCTATTCTGGTTACTTCGAAACCGAAGATCGCTTTCGTTTTCTCCAAAAACCGAAACCGCTCTACTAGTAGGACAATTATCATTATAACCGGTATTTTACAAGTAACAGTGCGTAAAAAATTCTTTACGATATGTTAGCTTAATAATCGTATTTCTCCTCACAAATACCGCAAGGTCAAG